CACGGAGACAAATAAATGGAAGTGCTTGCAATACTGTTTAATAAAGTAAGACTGTATTGGTACACCCCATATAAGTCTACGCTTAGCTTGGTTTTATCAGCTGTCTTTGTAACAAAGTTTTAGTGTTGTTACACAATTTCACTGTATTGACACAGAAATAAGTAGATAAACATAAGAACATGCTTACACTTAGCAGCATTACCAGCACCTACATTGCTTGCTGGGCTCTTAGAAGACATTTAGGAGTAAATTAGAGCTAAATAAAAGCACAGAACAGAGAAAGCCAATATGGGAGGCTGTAAAAAAAAACTTTAAGAGACCATGGAAAATGGCCACACCCACAATAAGTGAACACCTGACTGACTAAAATCATGCCAGACTAGAAAGGTTCAACCTGTACAACTATGATTGTGAGCTTATTAAATTTAAATGAGCTACAAAGCAATATTAAGACAGAGAAGGGATCTCTGGGCCTCACACTCACTATTAGTGGAATTGCCATTTGAATGAAGCTTGAGGATGCCTTCCGAGGGCCAAACAAGTCCAACTTGCCTATGTTACCATTGGTCTCTCATTTCCCTTTTTCTGCATGTGTTTAGCTCAGCTGCGATTTTTTTCTCTGCACTAAATTTACATATTTCACACCCAGGTGACACTGCCCTGCAGTTCTGGAACAGCATAAATGCCCCATGTCACTGGTGACAGTCTGCTGATCTGCATCAGGCCAAGCAGACATAGCAAGATGGTCTCACACGCTCAGCTCCTCTGGCTGTTTGTGCTCTGGATCCCGGGTAAGAAACAAATGAAGGGGGTATGGCATGAGTTATGCCACCATGAACCACAGAAAAACTTAACAGCTCTAGAATGTCCTTTGTGAATCCATAAACATGAGTTAGTGACAGTAATTTCTGAGAAATGTGACTCCTTTGAATTGGAACTGTGAGGGAAATACCAGCAATGGAAGACACCTTTGAATGAAACAGCCATCTCAAACTTAATGTTAGTATCAGTTTTAGGAGAACAACCTGTCATAAGTTTGTAGCGAGGCATATGGGAAAATTTACCGAATCAATAGATGGTTCATTTTGCTTAACTGTACTATCAGCATAATTAATATATGAGACACATTCCTCACTGCCATACTAATTTATATGCTGTTTCTTAATACAGACTCCAGCGGGCAGATCGTGCTGACTCAGGGAGACACAGTCACTATCCGCTGCAAAGCCAGTTCCAGCCTCACCAGTGGTAGCTATCAGCTCCTAGCCTGGTACCAGCAGAAATCAGGACAAGCGCCAAAGCTCCTTATCTATCTTGGAAGTTCCCTACAATCCGGGGTCCCAGCCCGGTTCAGCGGAAGTGGGTCTGGCACAGATTTCACTCTCACAATCAACAGGGTTGAAGCTGAAGATGCTGGAGATTATTACTGTTACCAGCATCACACCTCACCTCTCACAGTGATACATACCCATACAAAAACCTCCCCACTCTGTTCCTTTCAGAGTAACAGCTGCTTCCTAGCTACAGTGTAGCAGCTACCTACATTTCAGACAGAGTTGTGAAAAACCTTCCAGCACCACAGACTCCTCCTGCTCCCCTTGCTGTACCATCTATGATATTATTGGTTCTTTCCAGTGTCCAAACTTCTACCACCACTCTCAACCCAATGCCAAGCAACAGCAAAAATTCTAGTCTTGCAGGTCAGCTTCTCACTGAAGGGGAAATCAGTGATATGGAGTCTGAGTATCCAATGCCAGTCTTCATTTATTCACACATCTACCCTAGACCTAGGAGAGACGGACCACAAGCAGCATTCAGGGAAACCTTTCTCGTACGAATCTATCCCAACACCGAAGTCTAGTTCCCAGACTTCAAACTTGCTTCAAGATCTCACTCTAATCAGACACCACAGCAGAGAAACTCTCCTGTTTCTCACACAGCTCCCTTTCCTCACAACCATGCATAGCCCAAACCAGCAACGCCACAGCATGTCTTCCCAAAGCTACGTATTTGCTCGCACATTCAGACAAACAACTTGAAAGTGATAGAAATGTAGCCGTGTTAGTCTGGGGTAGCTGAAGCAAAATGCAGGACAATGTAGCACTTTAAAGACTAACAAGATGGTTTATTAGATGATGAGCTTTCGTGGGCCAGACCCACTTCCTCAGATCAAATAGTGAAAGAAAGTAGTCACAACCATATATACCAAAGGATACAATTAAAAAAAATGAACAAATATGAAAAGGACAAATCACATTTCAGAACAGGAAGGGGATGCAGGGGGGGGGAAGGAAGAAAGGTAAGTGTCTGTGAATTGATGATATTAGAGGTAGGGAGAGTGGGAAGTATGTGCATAACAGCGCCACCTGGTGATTCCCCCTCTAACATTAACACACTGCAGTGTATTGTCCAGGCAGACAAACTGCTAACAATAATTCTTTCCAGTGAGAAATGTTCATTTTACTGGATCAGTTGGGGGTCACTTTTTCCTGCACAATCTCATTCCCTGGTTTCCAAAAACATTTGTTTTCCTTTATGGGCAATTCAGGATTAAATCCAAGACAGTTTTTTGAATGCTTTATTACCAATGTTACCACACAGACAGGCTTGGAATAACAGACAGAAGCTATTGGCTGCATCCGGCCTTCTTCATATGGAGGGAAGGCCAAAGATACATGGGGCGCTGAGTGGGAAACTAAGCAGTTGTCAGGTTCACAAATGAGCCAATATAGGAAGGAGCCCAACAACATATTTCCTCCTTTGTCGTGGGCCTCTGACATGTTTTCAGGCCTGGGGACAATGGTGGGGAGTTGAGGATTCATCTGCTTTTACTCAAGCTGGTGCTAAGTAAGGGAAGTGCTGGCAACTTTGCTGAGGTTTTCTTTCCTTGAGCCCCACCCAACTGCACCATCAGCATCCAGATACCTGCAGAGAGGACAGGGTCCTGAGAAGCGTCTGGTAACTGCATCATGGGTTGCACTTAGCACCTGTTTGTTAATCAGAGGTCCAGGACATCCCCAACTGACTTTTAGCAACCGAATACAATAAATCACCCCAGGAAATCAACTGGTCCTTGCAGTCTTTTTAATACCACAGCAATCTCCAGAAAGTGATAGGACCAAATCATGGTACTGGTTTGTATGGACACGCATGTTTTTCCTTTCATTGACTAATTCTCCACCTCTAGTGGCCCCATTTCCCGGGTCTGGCACCTCAGAGGGTGATTAATAATATTAAAGAAGTATAAAGTTATTCTTGATCATATTTATTCCTTTTTAGAGAGCATTAATCATGTGATCCAGATATATCTGAGATGCAGCACCTTTCAAAATAGGCTGCTTTAAATTTGCATAAATCCTATACTTTTTTAAAGCAGGCTCACAGAGGAGAAACACAGAAAAGAAAAAGGTCAAGGCTGTTCCCCAATCTAACTCTTTAAGTGCAGGGGCCCATACGAAACCTTAAAGATACCTCTAGAGGTTTCTGTTTGCAAAATCTCCCCAAGCTCACAGACTCCCTGACCTTGCAAGGAATGCTGCAAACACCCATGTGAAAAATCCCCTTTCTACTTAAACCTGGAAAGAAATCACTTGGGAATTATTCCAGAGGGGGTACCCCAAGCTCTTACACCACAATGTTAAAGACCAAAAATTCTCCCAAGAGTTAAAGGCCCCAAAGCCTTCCTGTGTATTACTATAGAGTCTGTGAGGGGAAAACTAAATTACCCTATGGGGTCTAGTTAGGAAGAGAGGGGTCTCCACCCTCCCTGCACAGATCCCCCTATTGCAGACCTCTAATCAACATCATTGAATGCATCTTTGTGAGTTGATTCTTAATATAACAATGATTTTGAGACCATTAAAATGAATATTTATTTCCATTCCAGCCTGACAAATGCCGTTTCAATATGAAGCAAGAGAAAGAAAGGGATTATACCTGAGTGGATGTCTACACTACCAACTTTTGTCAACAAAGCGAATGTCAATAGCCAAAAGTCAACAAAACAAAAGTCACCAGAGGGTGTCCACACTCACTCCCTCTGTCAACAGATCATGTCCACACTGGAGTCACCATTATTAGAGTGGGCAGTGCACTGTGTGTACACTTTCCACAATGCAGTGCTGTGGGATCACATTTTAGGATTCCCTCTGAGTTCTCCCACAGCTTCCTCCGCTGCTGGGAACAGATTCATGACTAGCTCTGTGAACTCACGATGCTGAGGAATGTCAAAGCAGTGCAGCAGTATGTCCCCCTTCCCTTGCAGCCACAGCCTGATGCAGGACAGAGCAGGAGCAGTCTAATAATTTGCTCCTTGATCCCCAAGCACAGCAGCTCACTCAGTTGTCAGATACTTCCTGAAGGCTTGAAAGGGATGGGGCACATGCCTGCAGGGCTTCAGAGATCACAAAACACTGAACAGACACTCAGGCCAGGCATTGAGATACTGGCAGAAGCCAGTTCTGTCCACAAACCAAACAGCAGAATCTACACTGGATCTTTGTTCACAATAAGGAGAGGGGTAAAGAAAAGTTGCTTGTAGGGGTGGACATGTTTTGTCTCCAACACTGGGAATTTTTACCAACTAAAGTCGCACTGCAGTGTGTAACGCTATCACTATTTTGTCGCCAAAAGGCAGTTTTGGGTGACAACCCTTGGTAGTGAGGCTATGCCCTGCATATGGGCTTGTTTCGCAACCATCCAAACTGGGTTCTGAGACAGATGGAAACATCTGGGTACCACCATCGCTATCAACAGAAATACCAACTTAATGAAAACTGAGGATGACGGCTCAATAGGTAGCACTTGCCTGTTTCATTCCTGACTTCTTTTACTTCTCCTTTTCGGCCTGCTTCTTGGTCAGCTGGGAATTTACATCTCTAAACCACAATTTGTATATTTCACACCCAAGGCACACTGCCTGGCAGCTCTGTGCCCTTATAAACGTTCCATGTCACTGGTAGCATTTGTTGATCAGGACCAGGCCAGGCAGACAGAGCAAGATGATCTCACAGGCTCAGCTCATCTGTCTGTTTGTGCTATGGGTCACAGGTAAGGATCAAAGGAAGGAGGTCTGGATTATTTCAGCCGCAATGATCTGTGGAAATATTTAAGAGAGCTGAAAATATTGTACTGAATATGGACAAATAACCATTCTGTCCTTTGTGACAGCAACATTAGACAATGGCTCCTAACTGACAGTAAAAGGGGGGGGGAGTTTGAGAAAAATACAAGAAATTGAAAAATTGGAATGAAAAACCCCAGTACGAACAACGTTAGCATCATTCTCAAAGATGAATCATCACTGGAATATTTATAAATATTGTTTTGATTAACTATACTATTGAATATATGTCTATAAATGATATATTTATTCATGCTGTGTGTATGAACTAGAGAGAGAGAGAGAGAGAGAGAGACTGTACATGTACATACTAATTAATATTCTGTTTATTAATTCAGATGCCAGTGGGCAGATCGTGCTGACTCAGACTCCAGACTCCCTGGCTGTATTTCCTGGAGACACAGTCACTATCCGCTGCAAAGCCAGTTCCAGCCTCATCCTTGGTAGCTATCACCGCCTAGCTTGGTACCAACAGAAATCAGGAGCAGCACCGAAGCTCTTTATCTATTATGCTTCCTCCCGTGTCTCTGGGGTCCCAGACCGGTTCAGTGGCAGTGGGTCTGGCACCGACTTCACATTCACCATCAGCAGGGTTGAAGCTGCTGATGCTGGAGAGTATTACTGCCTGCAGCATTACAGCTACCCTTTCACACAGTGATACAGACCAGCACAAAAACCTGCCAGAGCAGTTCAAATCAGTGTCACAGCTGGTTCCTACATGTTCACTATCTGTGTGATACTGCCATGCTCCATGGGTGAGGAGGGGGGGCGCTGGGCGCTGGAGTACAGAAACTGCTGATCTTCCACAACCTGCAGCACAGGCAGGAATAAGGACATCGCCCAGGTGATTTTCTTTCCAAATATCTCCCCTGAATTGCTCTTTCCCAGGGTAAAAAATTTTGTTCCCCAAACCCAAACAATGACTGCCACTTCCTGCCCTAGGAATCCTCTGGGAGCATTTCAGAGGTACACAGTGTTGCCTCAGCATCCCCACTGCACCACTGAACGGGAACTACTCAAGTTAAGCCCTTCCTACCCCAGCGCTGACTCCCCCAAAAATGGAGCCCCCTCCTACACCCCAGAGCTCTCATCCTCAGCCCCCACTCTAGAGCCCACACGCTAGTCAAATTATGTTGGGTCACAGGCAACAAACATTTTCTTCAACTGTGTCATGAGAAAAAGTTTGAAAACCTCTGACCTAGATGAGAATTCCAAGCAAAGAATGTTTATTCTAAGTCAACTTGACAAGTGGCATTAATGAGGAAGCTGCCCAGAATCCGGGTGGCTGAACTTGTCTATTTCAGCTGGTGGGGGCCCTTCTGGTTTTGTGCATGTCTATCGAGCACCTGAATTTTCATCTGACCCATATTTGCATATTCCCACCCATGTGATATTTCCCCGCTGCTGTGAGTGGTTATAAAACACTCCCCTGTCGCTTGTTATGGCTTGGCCAACAGCTTCTGGGCAGCCAGATGTATCAAAATGATCTCACAAGCTCAGCTCATCTGGCTGTTAGTGCTCTGGATCCATGGTAATTATCAAACCAAGGAGCAACTGTCTGAATTAAAATGATTATTTATTAATTCTTTATTCAGTGAGACCTGGATGACCTAAATAGGCCTCAAGGCAGCTTTGTTCGAGGCACCGCTACTTTAGAGAATGTTTCTCTTATTTAAACTGACATTAAAAAATATGAGAAAGCCGATAGTAACAGAGAAAGTAGATTAAAATGAGTTTTATGCTTATTACTAAGGCCAGGTGACAAGCTACAGTAATTATATAAAGAAAGTCACTAAATACATATTTTATAAATATTATAATGCATTAAATGACATATTATTCCTAAATCCAAATGCCAGAGGAGACATCGTCCTAACTCACACTCCAGAATCCCTGGCAGTGCGTCCAGGAGAGAAAATCGCCATCTACTGCAAAGCCAGTTCCAGCCTTACTGACTCAGGCAGTGACGACTTAGCCTGGTACCACCAGAAAATGGGACAAGCTCCTAAGCTCCTTGTCCATCTTGCTTCCACTAATGTCTCTGGGATCCCAGCCCAGTTCAGTGGCAGTGGGTCGGGAACCCATTTTACTCTCATAAATCAGCAGGATGAAGCTGAAGATGCTGGAGATTATTACTGTCTACAAATCAGTAGCTTGCATCTCAGTCTTACAACCCAATAAGAAAGCCGAGTTCTCTGCTCCCTCGGCTGATTCTGCTATAATACAATTGTCTCTTTGCTAATTGCAGTGTTAACCCTCTGCCAAGCTGTGGCAGGTGCTCTGAACATGTAGGCCAGCTTTGGCAGTACAGCAGAAGTCAGTTGTGTGGCCTCTGAGGATACTAAGCACAAGTTGTTTTCTTTATGAATCAACACCTGTCCTGAAACAGCAGTGATCACAAACAACATGCAGGCAAATACCTCTTACAGGAATCTCATCCCAATATTAATGCCCATATCCCAGGAAACAAATCTGCCTCAAAAATGTACTCTGATCACAGACCAAAACAAAGAGCAAATACGCCCTCTACCCACGCAGCTCCGTTTCCTAAGTACTTTGTGTAACCAAAGTCAACAAACACACAGCAACAATAACACAATTTCTTTCCAAAATTTTACATTCATTTCTACACTCAGAAAAGCAACTTGGAAGGCGGTGTAACAGCACCATCTGGTTACATAAGTACAATAAAGCATACGAGCTGCCAGAAAAGTTTGCGTCTAGAAACATTTATCTCAATAGTGAAGGTTTTTTGCTGCATCAAATCAATAGGAGCCTTTTTTGCTGCAGAAATTATTTCATTCCCCAATTCCCCAAAATAATTCTTACATGCTGCCTCCTCTGAGCACTTCAGGATTCGAACAGACAGAGTCCTCCCAGTGCTTTATTGGCAGTGCTGCCTTTTGGAGATCCTGGACCAAGCTCCTGAATTCCAGAGCAGTATCAGATTTACAAAGACATCAGTGGCACCATGGGGCCAGGCCTGGATTCCAAAATGGGCTTGGACCCACCTGATCCACTGGTCTCAAGGATTTTTACCCCCACACACACACCTTCACTCATTTCACTCCCCCCTTCAGCCTCTCAACAGGATTCCTAGTGGTGCCTCGAATTCTATCTGTGTATTTCACGATGGACTCAGTGGCCAATGGCAGGGCTGCCATGTTGGAGGAGCAGTGCCGATATCCTGAGGGTTGGGCAGGCTGCAAAGGCAGCAGGACTGAGCCCCGGAGGGAAGGACTCTTCACTCTACATATGACTTATGAGGAGCGGCTGAGGGAGTTGGGTCTGTTTAGTCTGCAGAAGAGAAGAGTAAGGGGGGATTTGAGAGCAGCCTTCAACTTCCTGAAGGGAGGTTCGAAAGAGGATGGAGAGAGGTTGTTCTCAGTAGTGACAGACAGCAGAACAAGGAACAATGGTCTCAAGTTGTGGTGGGAGAGGTCCAGGTTAGATATTAGGAAAAACTATTTCACTAGGACTGTGGTGAAGCACTGGAATAGGTTACCTAGGGAAGTAGTGGAGTCTCCATCCCTAGAGGTGTTTAAGTCTCGGCTTGATAAAGCCCTAGCCGGGTTGATTTAGTTGGGATTGGTCCTGCCTAGAGCAGGGGGCTGGACTTGTTGACCTTCTGAGGTCTCTTCCAGCTCTATGGTTCTATGATTCTATGTTTCATCTGGTTAAAGAGAAGTCTGGGAGTATTTCAAACCCAGACTTCCTGAACTGATCTGCAGGGTCCTTGAAAAAGAGCTAGAAAAACAACCAGGATCACTCAGGAATCACAGGCAAAAATCCTGAGAGGAAGATTAGGGGTAAAATGGCTGTCCTGGCAACCCAGATGATAGCGCTGACCAAAGTGAGTTTCAGAAGGGACAGATCAATGTCTCATGCTGAGTAGCCACTCATGCCACAAGCAGTATGGTAGAACCTCAGAGCCACAAACACCTCACGAATGAAGCAGCGCAGAATGTTCATGACTCAACAAAACATGGTTTTCTTTCAAAAGTTTACAATTGAACATGGACTTAATACAGGTTTGTTCATAATACGCTGAAGAAAAATGCTGTTTTCCCTTCTTTTTTTTTAGTACTTATGTTTAACACAGCACTGTACAGTATTTGGGATGTGGGTTTGTTTGGTCTTTGCTTCTTACAGATTTCTAGTTCCAAACAAGGTGTGTGGTTGAGAGCTCAGTTCGTAGCTCTGGTATTTGTAACTCTGAGGTTCTACTGTACAACTGATACCAACAGAAGGACTCACAGAGCAAGATATAATTCAAAGGAAGCTTCTCAGATTCTGGCTCAGAGTAACCAAAGATCCACACTGGGTCTTGCATTAAAGCCTATATTGATAACAGAAGCCATATCCTGCTCCCTGTGTGCAATACTCAGTTCCATCTATAGGAGCTGCATTCTCAGTCCAAAGTGTGTACATGGCCCTTTCTCTGTACTCTCTGAAAGGGGACACAGCAAATACGCATTTACATAGAGCAGCTGCTTTGCATATTTCTGCCTAAGCAGCATTTCCTCGCAATGAACAGCAACTATAAATTTTTATTTCTTAGACTCTATGCTGCAGATTTTCACTGTCTGTCAGAATAGAGGAACAATGATGATTTCACAGAATCTCTTGATCTGGCTCCTCGTGCTCTGCATTCAGGGTAAGATCATCATCCGAGGAGATTAAGACAATCTCTTATGATTTAATCATCAGATTCCTTCAAACCCAGATTACTTCTTTATGCCATGAACTTACAGTGAGCTACAGTTCCAATTGTTACAGACCTGAATGTAACTAGGTTGTCTACATGAAGACTAGCTACTAAAGATTTGCACATTTCTATTTTGTTTTAATGGTATTTCATTTGATGTTACTTATGTTTTCCTCTCATCCAGGTGCCAAGGGACAGATTGTGATGACTCAGACGCCAGAATCCCTGGCAGTGTCTCCAGGAGACACAGTCACTATCCGCTGCAAAGCCAGTTCCAGTGTAAGCAACTACATGGCCTGGTACCAACAGAAATCAGGACAAGCTCCTAAGATGCTCATCTATCTTGCTTCTACCCGGCCCTCTGGGATCCCAGACCGGTTCAGCGGCAGCGGGTCTGGCACTGACTTCACATTCACCATCAACAGGGTAGAAGCTGATGATGCTGCAGATTATTATTGTCAACAAGGCTCTAGCTCACCTCTCACAATGATACAGACCAATACAAAAACCTCCCTGCTGCCTTCAGTTTCTTTTCCTCATTTTAACAGCTGTTTCACTGCAGTCAGTCAAAGTATCACACCAGCTGCTGTGACCCCAGAGTGTTGGGGTGCCTGTCAGTTTCAGGCACCTCACCCCATTGTCTTATCCTAGTCATTCCTACAGGTCTCTCATCAAAGTAGCAGCACATGGCCAGCATTTATAGGGTGCTATATTCATACATGCTCAGCAGCTTCCTTTAAAATACTGAATATTTTTCTTATGAACTGGATCCAATTTCCCACTAACATTGCAGCACAAGTCTCAGCTGAGAAACGGCAGAAAGCTTTGGTGTAGAAAGCATCTAGAAATTACTTGTGCATGCAAAATCAGCTGACTGGCTGCCTCCCTCCTTGTACAAGTATCAAAGCAGTGAGACCCCTTTCCACACAATATGGTGCATGTCCTTAAATCTGTTCCCAGAGGGGACAGACAGAAAGATCCACTGCACCACTTTTCCTGAATCGCTGCAGACATGTTAGTTTCTACATTCCACTAACCTACAAATCCTGGGTCACATTTCAGACAATCTCAAATAGGAGAGTAAAAGTGCTGACCCCAATTTTTAGTTAGTTTCCCAATTGTACCTTCTCTTCTATTCACTCAGCCTTGGGCAGCAGCATAGATCTCTTGTGCTGTGTATTGGGTTGCCAATAAATCCTTATTAGAAAAGACAGCCCTTATTACTTCATTTCTGTAGAACAGGATCAGGAGTTGGTGAGTGCTGCAAAATGCAGCAAGAAATACTCCTGGTGAGCATAAGTGGGTTCTGCTTATTATTAATGACAGGGCACCCCAACCCAAACTACAGGTGGCATTCCCAGGGAGAGCTTCTTTGTAGGATGGTCAGATACATTCTGAGTTTCTCATTCAGAGTCTCTCACTTTAAAATTACCTAACCATACAAGGAATCCCAAAGGCCAGTAGCAGCAGCAGAACCATTTACTGCAGGTGCAGCCTTTTAGAATCTCATGGCCACTAGTGGGAGCTGCAGAAGTCTGAGGCGTGATATGGTCCTGGAGCCACAGCAAGGCACTGTGAAGGAAAATTATCAGGAGGACTGCTTTGTACGTCTAAAACCTTTCAATAAGGAGCTGCACTTGCTCCCAGTTCACACTAGGTGGCCATATTCACCTACAATTCCAAAGGGACAGGCTGGAAATTCCATGCTTTTGTAAAGGAGGCCAAATAAATATTTTAGGAGCTGAAATGCAGAATTAAGAGTCCAACTATAAATCTCCAGAAACAAAATTTCAGATCTAATTGTGCAATCTTACACAGAACCTGGGTAGCACTGCCTCAGGGCTCATTAACTATTTAATGGAAGACCAGCCTATTTCTGTCCACTATACCCACCTCTGGGATTTAAATAGTAAAAATAAGAGATTAAGGATTAAGACCCCAGAACCCCCCTGTGCTTTAGAGTCTGTGAGTTTATGACTAAACAACCCAAGTGCAGAGTAGTTAGGAAGAGAGGGGTTGTCCCTCACCCTGTGCAAACCTCTAATCAACATCATTCAACAGATCTCTGTGAGGTGATTCCTAGTATAAAAATGATTTTGAGGCCATTCAAATGGAGACCATACCTAAAGCAACACTGAGAAGCTGAGAATATTTATTTCCATTCCGGCCTGAGAAATTCCATTGCAACAAAAGGGAAAGAAAGGGATTATAATGGTGAGTATATCTACACTTCCAGGTTTGTCATCAAGTCTAACATCAACGCCCAAAAACTGACAAAACAAGAGTCACCAGAAGGTGTTCCTACTTGCTACTTCTGTCGACTGATCATGCCACACTGGGCACCATCATTAACAATGTGAGCGGTGCACTGGTTATACGTATCCCATAGGGCAGTGTTGTGGGAAGACAGAGCTGATTGCATCTTGGGATTCCCTCTAGTTCTCCCACAGCCTCCCCAGCTGCTGGGAACAGCATTATGAGCAGCTCTATCAACTCTGTGCGAAGGAATTTCAAAGCAGCTCAGCAGTATGTCCCCTCCACAGCCTGATGTGATGTTGTGCAGAGCGGAACAGGAGCAGTCCAATAATTTGCTCTTTGTTCCCCAAACAGAACAGTTCTCTCAGCTGTCAGATACTTCCCCAGAGCATTGAAAGGGGAACACCACATGCCTTCAGGGCAGCAGAGCTCATAACATCCAGCAGAATCACCAGGGGGTTGTGGGGCTGTAGTGGAGGATGGGAGGCCGGAGGAAGTGGGGAGGGAAGCAGCGCTGGCGGGGGGTCTCTGGGGGCTGTAGGGCTGGATGGGAGGAGGGGGCAGGAAGCAGACCTGGGAAAGGGGGTGCAGCACAGACCCCAGATGGCTGCTTGCCACGCAGGGGCGTCACTGAGCTCGGCCCGAGGCAGCAAATGGATGCCGCTCAGCTGAGCGGCGCAGTGTGCCATGGAGGGAGGAGAAGGG